ACATTATTGACCAATTTGCTGCATGAAAGGCACACAAACATTATATGTAATTATGGATAGTGCATAATATGCATTAAATGAACATTTTGTTGAAATTGTTGTTTTATTATTATCATTTATCAGCATTTATTAGAATTATAATTATTCCATTGTTGGTTTAGCATTTACTGTTGAAATTACATATGACCACGTCATTTATAATAGCACAACTAGAGTAGGGGTACCGACAAGAGTATTTGTTCCTGGGTTCCCACCATTGTATAACTAACATATGGTTATGATATAGGGCAACTGACTTAATATAACAAAGATTTTTTTTTTAATGTGAGCAAGATATCATCTAGTCATTTACAAAATTATTTTGTTGTGGGATATAAACTAGGTTTGAGAACAACTTGAAAGCTTGATAATTCCATAAATGTCTTATATTATAAATGTACATGAAATCAATGTAGAATTTTATCAAATGTTTTAGAAAATAAGTAAAATTTGCAGTAAAGTTTTAAAGGATAATAATTATACATAACGAACAGTTAAAAGTATTATGTCATAAAAAGAGCTTTATTTCATATTTGCCAACTTCAGGGATATCTTCTTTATTAAACTTAAGATATGTTTCTATATATAAGAAGAAAATTGTAGAAATTGTAATATAATTATTTTGTGCTTTTTTTTAAATGTTTAGTTATTCAAGATTATACCTCCACACAGTTATCTGATCTCCACAGATAATGAGAGGTTTTTGAATTTAGTATGGAGAATAAAAATTGTAGATGTCTGTTGCAAGTTTGACTGAAAGAGACAAGACACAGTGTTGAAGTTTCAATAACATAAAATGCTTTACTTTACTTTATGCTGAAAATTAAAAGTTAGCTGATCAGTAGGATTAAAGGTTAAGTAATAGTCAAAGGTTTTGGTTAGATTTTGAACATTCCGAGGGAATTATATTATAATAACGTGTCATGTGTTTGTTTATGGGATGAATATTTGGCATTACTATTTCATCTAGTCATACAATCTTAACCAGTATCTTTTAAAGTTCGCTAAGTCTCATGAATCATTTGAAAAAAAAAGAAAAAAATTTACATTGAAAATATTCACATATATTGAATTAACCTATTCTAACCTGCTTATGTTTTATATCTTCTAATTAGGTTTGGATGTGTTATAAATTGTATTATATTTGTAATTCATTTTAAATAAACAATTTTTTTACTACAAAACTAAACCTACATATATTTAACTTAGCCTTAAACTTGTTCTTTAAAACTGTTACTTTTCTTTGCTTCAATTTTGATTGAATATTGTATCTAACTTGTTTTCAGAAGTTATTGTTGATGTTTTTCTTTTGCATAACATATCTTATAAAGAATTATAAAATCAATCATACTTAGCAGTTTTTGATTTTTGCAATGACTTAAGTTATTTTGTTTATTTTCTAAACTGAAACGTTTCTGATAAGTAACTTTAAAACGCATGAACTTTATAAATATCAATTGGATTCGCAGTAAGAAAAAGGGGAAGAAAAGGTAAATTGTTTTATGCAACAACTTATCCACAATATTATTGACTTTAAACTTTTAACATTTGTATATTATTCACTTTTCCTTTTTAAAACAAGTGAAAGTTGTTGAGTTTATAATAAAAGAATCAAAAGTTTACTTTGAATTTGGCAGTTTGGTTTAATAATAATGAAAATATCTCATCTTTTAGGTCGACTTAAACACCCTTGATAAGCCAGAAGTCTCCATGTACTTGAGAAGTTTTGGAAATGAATGGTTGTGGATGAATTCTCATGATATTGAAAACGTGTATAACACTGAAGAGGCTTTTAATCTTGTTGAATTGATAAACAAGGTAAGTTCTTATTTATTTAACCAGCAAAGAGTGACTGGTAATTACAGTTAAAAATAAAATTATTGAAAACTATCATTATTGAAGATGTCTTTAAATAAAGAATTTCAACAATATATTTGAAGAGTCTTCTGTACCTTTATACTATTCTAATAGTCAATAATGTATTTTAATTTAGTGTTACAACATTTACATATTTTTATTAGTGTTCTGGAAAGATAAAAAAGTAGTGTTTATGTACATATATATGCATGTATATGTATGTTTCACTTGTATTTTGTAAAATAAGGACATTCATGTCCCAGTGGTTTAGCTGCCAGACTATGAAAATTCAGGCCCATTGTTCATATCCTTTCACTGCCAAAAATGAGTCACACTCTCCACTTTGGTACTATAGGTATGTTGTAAAGGAGATTGTTAATTCCCACTATTTGGTGAGACAAAGAGTAGCCCAAGAGTTGAGGTTAGGTACTGTTGACTAGTTTTCTTCTATCTAGTCTTTTAGTCCAAAATTATGGATTGGCTATCAGAGATAGCCCTTGAGTAGCTTTGTAGAAAAATATGAAAATGAACAAACTAAACCATGTAAAATAAGTTCAGAGTCTGTTTTGATGACTTGTAGTTTAAGAAGGAATACTTGTTGTTTGATGCTACATATAGTTAATATCACAAAATTTCAACATATTTTCTAAAATACTGTACTTGTTTCTGAGAGGTATTTCCAGTGATACAGTCAGTGTAAATATAGAAATGACATTGTTACCAACAAATTTTCTTTGAGATCTAACTACAATATTATAATAAGTTTTATAATAAAATAGAATTTGACTAGTATGCACATACGTTATAAACGGAAATCCAGGTCCTATCAGACAGTATTGATTTAATATAATTGTGTTTAAAATATTTATTATTTTCAAAATTTAGTTTGGAATTACAATTAATGATTTTAATATTTTTAATAAAATTTTAATTAATTATTTTATTTTGATATTACAAACAATTGTAAGTTGTGCTGTAATCTAGTAATGTTTTAGATAGATTCCCTCGAATGAGTATTGTTTTTTGAGTTTCATATATATGATATGACAGTTCTATGAATATGCAGGCAAGAATATATTTTCTTTTTCATTTTAAGTGGTTTTGTGGGTTTAAATACAGTTTACAACTACAGAGAAGTTTTAACAGTTCAGAGAACAGAACTAGTACTTACATGTAGGGTTTGGGGCGTGATAAACCAGTTGTGATATCATACTAAGATGTAAAAGAATTTTAAGAAATATGCTAAAAGTGTTGTGAGAGGTTACTGTTTTTGAAAATAAAATGCTACGTATGAAATGATTGAGATAAAACAACATACGTAATGAAACTTGTATAATATCTTAAAAGATTCGTTTAGTTTTTTTCTGGTAATATAAACAGGTTATTTTATTGTTGAGTAATGAACCGGTTGTACATAGTATTTATTTAAAATGCCAGGACAATAGTATATACTAACAGTTATTCAAATAATTTTTTAATCTTGTGATAAATATGAAAATATGGGTTAAATAAAATAAATTAATAGTTATATTAAATTCAAATAAATAGTTCCACCTAATTTGGTTCTGCCCATAATGTTGTGAGAGTTTACTGTTTTTAAAAAATAAGAAATGTTAATATCTCTTAGACATGTCGTATTTTTCTACTCTAATGCATAAGGAAACTAAAATTTTTTATTCAATGCAAATACACCTTTATAAAAAAGAAAATCTTATTCAAATAACCAAACTTATACACAATATACTTAATATAAACTAACAGCGAGTATGTTCACTCTTTCCCTTCAAACCATTGAAATTCTTCTAGGGACACTTTCAAAGGATTTTTTTATAAACTCCCATGGAATGGTGCTCTACACTTCTTCCAAGACCTTCCAATGGCCAGTTGGTTAGGGCACTCGGCTCACAATCTGCGGATCGCGGGTTCGAATCCCCGTCACACCAAACATGCTCGCCCTTTCAGCCGTGGGAGCATTATAATGTGACAGTCAATCCCACTATTCGTTGGTAAAAGAGTAGCCCGAGAGTTGGCGGTGATGACTAGCTGCTTTCCCTTTAGTTTTACACTGCTAAATTAGGGATAGCTAGTGCAGATAGCCCTCGTGTAGCTTTGCGAGAAATTCAAAACAAACAAACAGACCTTCCAAAGATCATCAAAGTTGCTGGTATTTTTTTTGACTTATTGTTTATCTAAATATTCCCATACAGCTTCAATGATATTGAGATCTATGCTTTGAGGGGGCCATTCCATGTGTTAAACCTCAGGCTTTCTCTTTCTCATTCCAAATATGTTTTAATTATTACAATTGAGTGTTTTGAATCATCTGTTAAGAAAGGTGAACAATATTAAAAGGCTAAAATACGCACAAGAACAAAGAAATTGGACTATGCAACACTCTTAAGAATGGTGAACAATATTAAAAGGCTAAAATACGTATAAGAACGAAGAAATTGGACTATGAAACACTGTTAAGAAAGGTGAACAATATTAAAAGGCTAAAATACGTACAAGAACGAAGAAATTGGACTATGCAACACTGTTAAGAAAGGTGAACAATATTAAAAGGCTAAAATACGTACAAGAACGAAGAAATTGGACTATGCAACACTGTTAAGAAAGGTGAACTATATTAAAAGGCTAAAATACGTATAAGAACGAAGAAATTGGACTATGCAACACTGTATGCAGAACTAAGTTTACATTTATACCAAACATTTTTAATTTATATGCAGCTACATCTATTGAAACATTTATTGAATGCTGATATTGTGGTGTGAAACTTTATAGATTTGACATAATTAATGGTAGCAAATAAACACTTACAGCTATCAAATTAATAAAAGACATCTCTTCAAAGGTGGCTTGTGCTACATTTAAGAGACTTTGAAACTTCTTTGTATGAATAACTGTTTTGTTTGTTTTACAATTAATGAAAGAGACATATTACACTTTCATAATATGTACGTATATTATAATTAACTTAACTTATACCTTTTTTTTATTTATAGCTGTCCACAAATGAAAAGATTGACTTATCTCATAGTATCATGTTGTTGGATACCACAGTGACTTGTCCAACACTGAGTGGAATTCCTGTAAAGATTGATGTCAATGGTACAGCTACTGTTGTAATAAAAGCTGATGGAAAAATTAATGTTCCCAAAATGCGGGTTGAAGGATACATTTCTCCCAGGTACCTGATTTTTGTGTCTTATAAATAGTTTTACTATAGTTTTGAACAATGTCTCTTTATGTCAGTAAATGAAAAATAAAAAGCTTGACTATAATGCCTGGTTTTTTTGTAATTAAGTAAATTTTGGCATTATATATAAAAGTTTTACTATTTGTTTACATGCTCTTCAAAGGCTCAGCACTTAGCTTATGGGCTTATAGGACATAACATTTGGGGTTTGAGCCTTGTGATGGACACTCTATCATGCAACTTTGTGCTTAAAACAGAAAATGATTTGTTTACAAACTTTGTTACATCAGGGAATTACACTTTAAATAAGATAATTGTTGTAGCAGTCTTTTTTAAATTTATGAGTATTCAGAATAGATTATTGTTACAACTAGTAAAGATAAAATTTAATTAAAATTAGATTTAGTTGTGATTTTTAATTTTTAAAGAGTATATTTTACTAATCTTAACATGCAGCTTTTAATAATGCAGTGGCATTCATATGCACCTATACTATGACTTCCCTGCACTATTCATATGACTTTGACGTCTGCAGGCTCTTAACTTATACATAAATAGTAAAGATAGACTATGTGGAACTTGAAATAGTAGTTATTTGTTTCTTTAACAGTTAACAAACTTAAGTTATCATTGTTGGTAAAAATTATGTCGATAATGTGTCTAGGTGTTTTATGGGTGTAAATATTCTTAATTTTTCAGTATTAAATGCAAAGTAAGCTGAGGTAAAATATGTGTAATGCATCTATTAATGCCTTTTTTTGTTTTTTTGCCATATTAGGTGAATCGCATGTTTTTTTTGGAAAATCGTTTATTACAAATTTCATTTTTCAGTATACATTATGCATATTTTTCTCTTGTGCTGATTGCTTTGCTGAGCCGGATTATGTTTACAACTTTTTCCTACTTGAGAAACTCATTCATTAGACAAACTTTATAACTATGATTTCTCAATAAATGTAAATAAATAGTGAAATATTGTTGCGATCTTGCATATTACATGCTATTTAGTGTCTCATAAGCTACATGTACTTATGTCTACAACTAATGTGCTGATAAAGTATATATCAAAATAAATAGCCAAGAGTGTTGGTAAAATGAATTTTTGAGAAATTCCGAAGTTCATAGATCAGATATAGGTATGATTAGTTAGCCAAATATAGGCAATACATTCTTAGGTTATATAATGATATACCAAAAAAAAAAAGTTCATAGTTTGCTTATCATGTTACTGTTTATGCTGTATATAGTAGGAATGGGACTATCTAATAAAATTATTGAATATAAATTTTATGAGGAATTGAATAATTACGAAGGCATGATATTACTGGCACATGCATCATGCATAATAGATATTGTGTCTTCCAGCCCCCTGTTCCTTTCTACTGTATTAGCATTTTCCTTCATATTAAAGGATGGGAGCCATGGTAATAACAATATCCATATAAAATATCACTGCTACTCATTGTGTTGCTGCTATAGGTAATAGATGGTAACAGTATTGGCAGTAACAATAGTGACAAGCACATTTCAAACAACAATGTAGAGTTCCATAGGAATGAGTGGCCATTAAGAATGAAGCATGTGACAGTGCTTTACATTCTAATCTCCATTGTTAAGACCCCCATATGCATCATTTGTAAATTAAAAAAACAAAACAATGATAAAGTAACTATGACATAAAATAAAATATTCAAATATTTATTAAGATTCTCCCTTAAATTCCTTTAAATACACTGTATCAACCACATCTGAAGGCAACCCATTCCAAAAGCAACCACCCCATTAGAAAAGTAAAGCTGTCTTAGCTGAAGATGACTCCTACCCTCTCAAAATTTATACTTGTGTCCCCTAGTCTTACCATTCTCCCCATTAAATATGGAAAAGGTAATGCATAACACTGTCAATTCCTTTAAGAATCTTAAACTCCTCAATCAGATCCATACTTGCCAACTCTCACAATTTGGGCGTGAGTTTCCTGAATTTGGACCTTTGACCCAATCTACCAATCTGGGTTTTGAAAATTGGTCATTTCTAACGATTTTAGGCATGTACGCTGATTTTCCTGGAAATCTACCAATTTGCTTAACTATAACTAACTTTTTTGTACATTAAAAATTTCCGAGTAAACGTCAGCCAATCGTTTGCTCTATATAGAGAAACCAGTTGAGTAAACACGTGATTCATACTGGAAATTAGACTTCACTTCCTTCTTAGCCAATGAAAACTGATTATACAAATAAGACATATTTATCATTCTAAGCCAAGCGTGACTGTTCACGTGTTTGTAAATTGCTTGATTTGCCATGAAAAGTTGGTAAGTATGATCAGATCTCTTCTTACTCGTCTTTGTTCAAGAAAAAACAAGTTCAGAGATATGAATCTATCCTCATATGACAACCTTTCCATCCCTGTTATCATCCTTGTAGCCCCATGTGGGATAACATAATTTGAATTATGAGTATAATTTTGATGAGAATAACCTTGACAGTGTTATGAAAGAAAAAGATCTTGATATTTTGATTCATTAGTCTCTTAAGCCATCCAAACAATATGCTGTTTCTAGTGACAGGGCAAATAGGATTTTAGGTTGTATCACAGAAATATTGAATAAGAGTGTAAAGATGTTATAATGTCCTTGTATAGGTCACTGGTTAGTCCACATTTGGAGTATTGTGTGTTCAGTCTTGGGTTTCTTAACTTAGAATGGACATTGAATTGTTGTAAAGGGTTCAGAGAATATTATCTTGCATTTATTATAATTAAAAGACATCTGTTATTTATTTGTCCAACTCACCGAACAATCCAAATCAATTTGTAAAGCAGTAACATCCTCTTTACAGCCAATCAACATTCAAACCTTTAATGTCATTAGCAAATTTAAATAATCTTTTGACCAATCTTTCATTAATACCATTGATGTCAATCAAAAAGAGTAAAGGTCTTAACAGTGAGCCCTGAGGTGAGTTAGTTGTGACATTAATCCAGTTTGAATGAGTTACATTTATAATAACCATCTACTTTTTCCATCTAGCCAGTTTTCTATCCAGTGAGCCAACCTATCCCACACACCTACAGAGATAACTTTTTTTTAACACCTTGTCACATGCTTTCTGAAAAACCAGATATATCAAATCCACACCAATACCCTCATCTACATAAGCAGTAACCTCTTCAAAGAGTGTCAAAATATTTGTAAGGCAATATTTCCCCTAGTGAAATCATACTTACTATCCAACAAAATTTTAAACATTGTTAAATCACTTTGCAAAGCATCATTTATCAGACTTTCCTACCACTGATGTAAGACTAATAGGCCTATGATTACACCTGTAAAGAGGAGCAACGTTAGCCAACTTTCAATCTTCTGACACCTGCTCACATTCAAGGACTTTGAAAAAATAGTAGTGAGTGGCTCACTTATCTAAACCTAACCTTTTTAAAACTCTTGGATAAGTATCATCTGGCCCAGGAACTTTATAACACTGGTCAACAAGTCATTTTCATCAAATATAATTATAGGTGGGCTAGATAGCTCTTGGGATGCTGATTCCAAATCTGTTTTTGGTTTTTCCTCTAGCATGTCAAGTTTTTGTGATGAGACCGATCAAATTTCAAAGGTTATTGCCTTAGTTATAATTTAAGTTGTTGTTCATTTCTTTTTTCATAAGTGTGTACTGCATAAATTTAACCAAGTGTATGGTGTGTATAACGTTTATGGGAATGATAATGAAAAATGAATAAAGTTGTAACGTTAACTAGCTTAATGTGTGATTATTACCTAAATTGTGCTGAAATTAACACCAGTTATACTTCAGTAAGTAGATGTGCTAGAAGAAAACTGATTTGTAATCAGCGTGCAAAACTGGTCTAGAAAAGTGTGCTTACATGTTTGATGAGAGGAAAAAATTCAAATGTGTCGACCAGTGTAATTCTTTAAACTTCCCAATTTATTAGAAACGTTGGTAGAAGAAATAGGGAATAAATATTCAAAAATTAGTAAAGCCCAAAATTTTCTCCAGTATTTAGTGAAGCATAATAGTAAATCATATTAAATAACTCAAATATATTCCAAACATTAGTGAATAGTGAAAAGCAGTTTTATTAAATACTTTTTAAGTAGTGGAAGAGCTCACTGTCAATAACTGTTTATTTTGAATTACACTATATCAGACATAATAATAAAAACAATTCATTACTAAATAGAGTTTACATTTCTAGGTATGTGTAAAACTAAAATATCTATTATAGCTTATATTAAGTTTGATTTAAAGTTTTGTTATAGTTTGATATGTTTCTAAAGAAGTTGTATCTTTTGACTGTCAAAGAGTTTTATCATCTATAATATGATTTGATCAAAAGGAAGTTTGACCTTGCTATAGTTGATAAGGTGACCTTATTGTTTATCTGTTTATTTGTAGTTAAGCACAAAGCTACACAATGGGCTGTCTGTGCTTTGTCCACCATGGGTATCAAAACCCAGTTTCCAGTGTTGTAAGTCCACAGACATACTGCTGTGCCACTGGGGGGGTAAAATGATCTTATAAGCTCCTATGTTCCACCAAGTTGTTAGTTAGTAAGCTTAGTAGAATTTTAGTGTTACTTAAAAACTATTTATTAATTGCTGTTTATTCAAGGTTAAAATTTCTGACAAGTTTTTTTTTTCATTATTTAGTGCTGCAGTGGAGTTTAGTGCTGCTATAACAATGGATGCTAATGTTGCCAAACCAGGTGTAAAATTTGTATCAACAATGCACTCTTCCACTACACTGGATGGCAAGTTAGAAGTTGATGATAGACGAATGATGAACCTGAAACTTAACTTGCCACGAGAGAAGCTTGAAGTTATTGAAATAAGGTATGTTCACTGTAAAATAGCTATGTAATATCTTAATTTATATGTTAGACTGCACAGTCTGGAGGATTAGACTATGTTAGTATGTAATGTGAGGTAAATTTCTTGCCATCTGACCATTGGATATACACGTGTTTTCTGTGATAGATTGATAGGGGTTTTGATTATAGAACAATTTTAAATGACCCACTGAATAATTTTGAAATACCTTGTTTCTCTTGCCTTTCATTATTTTCATTCACTTTTTTTTAACACATAAGGGACTGACCGTACCTTAATAGATTTTAGTCTGAGAATCTGGTTTGATATTCAACACTTTTTTTCCATTATTTGAAGCTTTTATTTTATCACTCAGTGATTCTTGCTGTTTCTCTGGTATTGTATATCTAGCTGTCAGTGGCGTGCAGAGATTCTATGATACCCGGGACCTTGTACCTAAGACCTCGGGGAAGGGCGGAAAGGGTTCTACTATTCGATTCGACTCTTTGTGTTGGATGCCCGGGGCCCCAGCACCTTTCGCCTCCCCCTCTGCACGTTACTGCTAGCTGTGTTTTTATACTTTTATTGTCATGTACCACTACTCTTACAGATATAGTTTCTTATCATTTGTACTGATATTCATTAAATGGTGTATTATGAAGATTAAATTAAACTTTCTAAAAGGTGTATGTATAATGTAAGTTTTAAAAGTTTGGTCTTACTTTACTACAATTTCTTTTTCGTTTTTCTTGACTGAATTTCAGAAATTTTTCTTTCCCTTTCTTCATATCTCTTTTGAAGCCATTGTGTGTGTGTGTGAGTGTGAAATTCATTCAAAAATATTTTTCTAATTCTATCTGTTGGTGTTTTAGTATTTAATGACTGTTTACTTTTCATAACAAGAGAGTTAAAAGTAATTATTTTCAGGGCAGTAGTTATGACAAGTTTGGTTACGTAACGCTATACGAGTCGTACATTGTATATGCAGTTGATTGTTGTACTAGGCTTTAATAATATTGTTGCTGTCATGTCACTCAAACCTTCAGTATTTTTCTCACCAAGTGAGTATTGTTACATTATAGTGTCAGTCGCGTAGCTTATAGAAAGTTTGAGGCCTCAGTGAACAAAGAATATACATATATAGGCAACCAAGCAAGTGCAAGTAAGTAGATAAAAGTCAAGTGAGAGATAATTAGACAGATATAAATTGATTGATTAGCAGTTTAGCTCTGATGAGTGATTTATAAAGAAGTTGGAAGTTTAGTCAAAAATCATTAAGTAGAAGAAGTGAAGTAAAAGTTTAGTTAGAAAAAGTTAGTAAACATAAAGTTAGCCACCTTGTGAATGAATAGCCATTACAGGCAATATCTTAAAGTGTGTTTTACAGTTTAATAAAGATAAGTATAATAATTTGTTTTGTCAAAGGGTGTTCTAAAGTGGACTTTGATGAAAGGAGATAATTACTTAAAGTTTGAGGTACAACTGTGGTAACCCAAGAGATAACGAAAGTGAATTTATCACAGATTGTATAGTAAGAAACAGAATAGAGAAAAATAATTAATCTTGTCAGTTGGATTATAAAGTAATTGGATCAGCCTTTGTGGACTTTTGACAAGAAAATATAATTATTTAGAGTTTTAGATACAACTGGGATATCCTGTAGTGTAAAGAATTTTTGTACGTAAATTTGATTTTTTTTTAATATATATTATTTTAAAATAAATGGATTGTGTTCTGTCCGTTTATTGTTTGAATTTATTGCCAACAGGTCACAGACACCTACTGTAGTAGAATCCCAGCCCACATATAAAACCCAAACACTATCCACATTGTGCATATAATTAGTGGATGATTTTCTAGATTCATCTTCATCACACAATCAGACAGGTTGTTGGAAGAAATAGGAGATAAATAGAACAATGAATGTATCCATGTTTGTATAATGTGCAGTGACAAGTTTTCTTGTTTAACACTGTATCTTTGGGATTTATTTTTCTCCTTTACAATTTTTAAGTATTAATAACAATCGATTCATTTCAGTGTGCTAAAAGTCTTTTACATTGTTTCAGGCATGATTGACAAATCTTCTATCTAGTTTTGGTTTTTCATTTTGCTCATTGATGTTGGTGTGACTCATATTGTACCATCTGGATTGTTTATCATCTCTATACTTAGCATGAATGTATTTTTTCCATTAGTAGTTTACTTGTGATTGTTCATGGTACCTTTAAATCATCTTTGACCATTTTACATAACTTACTTTGTGTGTCATCAATATTTGGGCTTTTTGACATATTATTTTATGCCTACATCCAAATTTTTTTATGTGTCAATGTCCTTATTTTTTCACCTTTAGGATTTTGTGCCTTATTTACATGCAAAAATGTCACACATGCTTGTATCAGGTTATTTACCATACTTTCATTTTCCTTTCTTGTTTAATAGGGTGTAGCCTCATTGTAGCTTTGCTCTTAAATTTCTTGTATGTATTGATATCTTTATTGCCAAAATTAGACTTTTGGATATTACTCTATTTGTTTTACTTGCAGCAATCTCATATGTTCATATTGGGATTTTTCTGTGGTGTGACTTTCTTCTACAGCATGTTAATTTTTGTTTGTATAGAAGTGTTTAATCTTATGGATTTCACTTGATTTTCTAACTTATCGTTGGATGCAACATTAAGGTCTATTACTGTTTTTAATAAGACTGCTACTTTATTCACTGATCTGTAAGGCTGTCAATATCCAGCCAGCAACCTCTTCAGTATAGCTTTGGTTTGCATCCACAAATCAGTGTGTCCCTGAGGAGGTCTTGTAAAAGGTATATTGAATTTATATTGTCTGGTAACATCTGTAACATACTGCTACTTGAGTAAATAGTTAAACAGTACTACGTGTTGTTGTAACTTATCTCAGATGTTAAGCCACTCTAAAGTTACACTGTAAGAGCTATTTAATGGGTTTTCATTGGTTACCACACATTGTTGGAGAGGATTATGTATTATGTAGCTACGCTGGTGTAATGCTTTTAAAGGGACAGAGAATCAGTGACCACATGAAGCAAATAAGTAGTTTTTATGTGTTTTATAAGTAAATTATTAGGCATGCAGAAGCACTGTCTATGCAGGGATGCCTCGAATTGTTCATTGAAATGGTATTTTAAATATCTTCTCAATAGGTCATCAGAACTTTACTATACAATGTTTCCTTTTATAACAATATCTATGTAATGACTGAGTCACAAGTTCTGAGAATGTCTGTAAATGTCAGAGCAAAAAGTTTGAATTTTTTGTTCTTCTTTCTTCTGTTTCTTTTTTATTACATGATAACTCAAAAACCAAAATTGTAGTGTGAGCCAATTTCACTGAAGTGACATGGTTTCAAAAGGAGTAACTGCTTTTATAAGTATTATTAATGACTAATAGTAATTAAATAAAAAACATAATTCTGGTGTAAACGATGTTATCATTACCCCTTCAAGTTAGCTTTCTTACAGAAATTTAACCCTATCGTCCCGGGTACCCTTTACCGTGCATGACACATAGTTTTAGTGTTTTACATTCAAAATTATATTAAACTACTTTTTGTTTATGTTATGCAAATTAGAATAGCATAAAACCTTAGCTAATAATCCATATTTTAATAGTATACAAGTTTTACGTTTTTAATTCAAGAAGGCAATATTTTAAAGAATCCTGAATTTCCACTAGTGCGACATTTTCTCTTAGCATGTAATCATCCCTATTTCAACCACCACCACTCGAAAATGTATGAAATTAAATATAAAATATTCTCTATAAAATCGTTATTGCTTAAACAAACCATAATTTTTATAGCCTTCAATTTTGTTTGGTTACAGAGTTATGAAATAGAAAATCAGACCCCTCCTGCCACATCTTCTCCTTCACAATTCGTTGATAGTTCTCTTTTATGTTTCATTACACATTACCTATAACCAGTAGAAAAATCAGAGTTTTCATCTATGAAATGATGTATTGTATAACGTTGCATTCTGAACAGAATATTGTGAATTTCACTCACCATACAAGATTCGTTCCCATGGGAAAGTTAATGAATTTGTAACGGCTCTTGTCGCATAGTTAGAAAGCCAGGAAAATGTTGAGAGGTAAGTGAATGTCTACTTATTGCATGTTATTAGTTTATATTCTTTGGTGCATTATTTAATTAAATAACAATTATTAAGTGCATTACTATCTATAGTATAAAAAATTAGGGTTAACTCTCTTCGAAAAACCTGAGAGCAAGAAAAAAGAAGATTGGGTAAGTACTTTATTTCTTGTTTTTCATATTTATTCT